TTTGCCACATGCGGCAGCTACAGTGGGGAGCTCCGGCTGAGCGTGGAGTGTGCCAACAAGACGGAGAGTGACCTCAGCATCGAGGTTGAATTTGAGTACCCCTTCAGGTGTGACTCCTCTCTGGGATCCCAATTGACATGAGAGAAGCAGGGGTGGGGTGGGATGTGCCAGAACCTCTTCCCCCCAGGGGCCCCTGCCCAGCCCCCACCTCAAGAGGCCGCATCCACTTGGATCACCACTGGTGCACTGAACACCTGCCTTGTACCTGGCACTGCTCTGGATATCTGGGACCATGTAATAAGCAAGACAGGCATATATATATATAATATATATATATATCTTAATACAGCAGGTGCTCAGTTAATGTTAGCCAATATTATTTAATCTCCATTCATGCATGCATTCCATACACATTTTTTGAGAACCTGTTCTATGCCAGGTACTGCGCAAAGTATTAGGGACACAAAGGTGACTCAAACATACCAAACTCCCTACCCTGCATGATAACAAATGCACGAATTAAGAAGATAATTGCAGATCGAGAGAAATTCAAGGAGGGGCTCCTCATGCAGTTTCCTATACAGGGTAACGACAGGGCAGTGGTTAGGTTCAGGAGCTGATGAAAGCCCCCTGGACAACTGTGACGCTCACTGAGCTCACACTGGGTGCTGGGCGCTAGCTGCACGAGAGTGCACACAGGCTGGTGTGACCACTACGTCCCAGGGCACAGAGAGACAGAGCCACAGACAGTTTCAGGAGAGGCATCTAAGGCCCCTCCACTACTTAGCCAAGTCACAGAACTGTACTGGCTCTCAACTTCCTCATCTGTGAAAGGGGCTAATGAGACCCACTTCACAGGGTGGTGGTGAGTATTAAATGAGCTACTAGTTGGCAGGTGTTTGCCACAGGGCCTCGAACAATGACGGCAAGAAGAAAAGGCCTCAGGAAAGTGTGTGCTGTGCTGGAGAGGAGCAGCCAGGGACCCCCACCACCACCACAACCCCCTCCCCAGGTCACAGAAGCCAGCAAGAAAACAGTTTGGAGCAGCATGGGGGCACTGCTTGGGAAGCCACAGAAATCCCCTGGAGACTGCTCCCTCCCCCGTGCCTCCCATGCCTAAGACCCAGGTCCTCAGGCTCTACTGTCTACCCACCCTAGTCCCCCTAATCAGTACCTGCCTCCTGCCTTGCCTCTCATTCCTCCTGGGACAAGCCCTTCTCCCTGCCCAGCCCCCTAGAAACACAGACTCTCAAACCCAGATGCAACTCCTCGCTGCAGCACTTGGCAGCTGTACAGTTTTAGATGGGTAATTTAACCTCACCGAGCCTCTGTTCATCTGTCAAATGGGTGCAATAATGCTCACTTTAGAGAAGCGCTGTGGGGGTGTCATTAAATTAGGCGAACTAAGTAAAGTGTTTAGCATAAGCTCTGCCTCGGGACCTTGGCTACACAAGGCCACAGAGAAACCATTCGCTCCAGCTCAGGATCCGGGCCCCCACCCTAAGGCCAGAGTTCCAGGATCTCTGCTCCAATCCTTTGCCCCCACCCTGCCATATGTTCTCCCTACAACCCTCCCCTCCATCACACCACAGGAAAGGCCTTAGTCTCAAGATACTGTCCCATCTGTTCCTCTACACACACACACACACACACACACACACATCCTGTTCCAAGATCCCTCAACTCTCTTTTCTGTCTCTTCCTAGTGGCTAGGTCCTCCTCTGCTATGCATACATTTTTTTAAGATATTTATTTATTTATTTGAAAGTCAGAATTACGCAGAGAGAGAGAGAGAGGTCTTCCATCTGCTGGTTCACTCTCCAATTGGCCGCAATGACCGGAGCTGAACCGATCTGAAGCCAGGAGCCAGGAGCTTCTTCTGGGTCTCCCATGCAGATGCAGGGGCCAAGGACTTGGGCCATCCTCCACTGCTTTCCCAGGCCACAGCAGAGAGCTGGATCGGAAGTGGAGCAGCCGGGAATTGAAGTACAGTGGCTTTACTTGCTGTGCCATAGCACCGGCCCCTGTGCATATGTTTTTTTCCCCTCTCAAGTACCCGGCGTGGGGTAAAGAGACGAGTCAGCACGATGTAGGGGAGAAAGAGTTCTCAGATCCCAACTCTGCCATTCACCCACCAGCTGTGAACTTTAGGCAAGCCAATACACTGCTCTGAGCCTCTGTTTCTCCTCTGAGCAAACCTTTTTGAGCACCTACATGCCAGCGCTCTTCCAGGCCCTGAGGATACAGCAGTGAACAAAACAGAGCCGGGGTGAAGACCCTACCTTCTTGTAGTTTCAGCCAAAAAATGATAAAGAGAAAGCAGCCGAGGATGATCTGAGTGCTTATGCCCAAGCTTATTGCCACCGACATGGGAGGTCCAGGCTGGAGCAAGGAAAGAGTCTGAGTGACTGACAGTTTAAATCGTGAAGCCAGGGAAGGCTTCACTGGGGAGGTGACAGTTAAAAGCCTGAAGGAGATGAAGGAGTAAGACATGAAGATATCTAGGGGAAGAGCATCCCTAGCCAAGGGACTAACCAGTGCAAAGGTCCTGGGGTGGGAAGGTGCCTGGCGAGACCTAAGAAAACCCAAGACCAGAATGCCTGGT